CTTCTCCTGCTCTGGAGCCCTTCCCTCGCTCCGGAGCCCTTCCCTCGCTCCGTTCCCGTCCCGATTCCCTCGCTCCGTTCCCGTCCCCCAGCCATGCTAATGTTCCCGGGGAGCCCTGGGAGCTCTGCCCTGCCAGACGGTTTCAGCACTTGTTAAATGTGTGTTTAGCGATCTCGGGAGGAGACAAGAGCAAACACAAACAGGCAGGGCTGGGGAGCCCCCGCGGCCCCCCGCCGCCCTGCCTGCCGCGGCAGCCCCAGAGCCTTTCTTCTTAAACCACTTCAAACTTTCGTTTCTTCTGAAGCCACAACAAGGCACACTTTGTAAAGCAAATGAGTAAACAGCAACTTTCAGCTTAAAAGGAAAACAAGGAGGAGGGACTGCTTTTAATTACTGGATTTGAAAAAAAAAAAGGGGCTTTATTCAGTTAATTGCTTTCTGTTGTAAAATGTTCCCCTCTCCGGGGCTGCTGTGGGCCAGATGGCACCGCAGGGGCAGTGCCAGCCTGCGCCTCCCCTGCTAGGGGACACCAGCGCCGTGGCCCTCCCGGCCCCATGGAGTGACAGGAGGAACCCGGGTTTGCTCAGGCACGACCCGCGGTTTGGCACGGCCGGCTGGCCCCGCTTCCAAGGGAGCAGGGGGAGCGCCCGGCACGCACGGAGCGGAGCGCGCGGGGCTGCTCCCGAAAGGGCCCGGGGGGACCAGCTGCGTCTGTGTGAGGAGAGGACGAGCGCGGGCGGCTCGTGGCGCGGCGCGGCGTGCGTACGTGTGTGTGCTGGTCTGAGAGCACACACGTGTGCAGGACTCTGTGCACATATGTGTGCAGGCTCCCATGCACATGCATGTGCTGGCCCATGAGCATGCACGTGTGCAGGCCCCCATGCACATATGTGTGCTGACATGCAAGCACATATGTGTGCAGGCCCCCGTGCACACACATGTGCCAGCCTGCGAGCACATACATGTGCCGGCCTGCAAGCACATACGTGTGCAAACCCCCGTGCACATACATGTGCTGGCCTGCGTGCACATACATGTGCAGGTCACCATGCACATACATGTGCTGGCCTGCAAGCACACACGTGTGCAGGCTCCCATGCACATACATGTGCCAGCCTGTGAGCGCATACATGTGCCGGCACGCAAGCACATATGTGTGCTGGCCCCCATGCACATATGTGTGCCGACCTACAAGCACATACGTGTGTAGGCCCCCCCGTGCACATACGTGTGCCAGCCTGTGAGCACATACGTGTGCTCGATCCCTGAGCACATACATGTGCAGGCCCCCGTGCATATACGTGTGCCAGCCTAGGAGTACATACGTGTGCAGGCCATGTGCACATACATGTGCAGGCTGCGTGCACATACATGTGCTGGCGTTCAAGCACATACGTGTGCAGGCCCCCATGCACATACATGTGCCGAACTGTGAGTGCATACACGTGCAGGCCCCCATGCACATATGTGTGCAGGCCCCCGTGCACATACATGTGCCAGTCTGCAAGCACATACATGTGCAGGCCCCCATGCACATATACGTGTTGTCCTGCTAGCACATACGTGTGCAGACTCCCGTGCACACACGTGTGCCGGCCTGCGAGCGCATACGTGTGCGTGCAGCTTGCACAGCAGCACCAGGCGGATCCCAACTGCTGCGTGGATGAAGGGGGCCAGGTTGGAAGACCCCATGGAGACAGAGGGATTAAAAAGAGAGAGGGAGCTAAGAGGTGCACGGAAGGACCCAGAGCAGAAGCGCCACCCGCGCGGAGCTGCAAGGTCGTCCCTGCGCAAGGGACAGATGGCACCGGGAAGGGAACAGCAGAGAGGAGGCAGCGGGAGCCTTGGCTCCCATGGGATTGGCCTTGGGATGGAACAGGCTCACGAGCAGCAGGGCCCGAGGCACCCGGTGCCTGGAAGTGCCGGGAAGCCCCGGAGCTGCCGCAGGGCAGGAGCGCGGGCTCCCTGCGCCCTTGCCAGCCTGGAAAACACCGCGCGGGAGCGGTGCAGGCATGGGGGGAACGGGGACGGGGAGGCTCCAGCTCCTTATCTGATGGGGAAGGGAGCATCCCGGGCCGTGCTCCTTGTGCACAGGCAGCTGCGGGCACAGCCAAGACAAACTCCAAGCTCCAGGGTCCGTGGCAAATCCCAGACCGAGCAGGAAGCTGCAATGCAGCGACTGCCCCGAGCGCTCCCTGCCTGGCACTTTCGAGGTGTCCTGGGCTGCCTTGAACCCGTCGTTTCCTTCCCAAACCAACAAACGCAGGAGCCAAAAGCGTCAGCTCTGGCACGGGACAGTGTCCAGCCTGGCGCGGGGAGCCCCTCCGGAGCGGCAGGGGCGCTTT